GGATTGACCTGATTTTGACCTAATTACAGATTGGGTTCTGTACCGGAATAGTCACACATTTTGTAGACTGATTTGTTTTTGTTTTTGTGTATGAAAATTATTGAAAAGAACAAATAGAATCATGATATAAGTATATCTTCAAAAGTTTTTTTTTCCAGTAATTTATGTCTTTCAGCTGCTGAGTTACAATGTTTTTTTAACATTACCGAAACAGTAGTGATTAGTTTGTCTATATGGAATGGTCCATCACATGTCAGCAGCACTCAACATACTGATTTGTGTACGTCAAATGTTGTGACATCGTCAAATCTTATCTGAAATGTGTTTTTTTTCCCTCGCTTTGTCCATATTATGTGTCTGTATATAAATTAAAACTGCAATCTAGTCACTTGACGAACATCTACCCACATGACCAATATCTCCATGGATTAATTATTTTTTCAGAAGGAAAAAAGACATTTATTTGAAATCGACCCTGAACAATCAATCATCCACTGAGGATATTAGCTCGCAATAATCTTCAGATTCTATACAAATCAATACAAAACTTCTTAGTAAATCTAAATCTAATCAACTATTAATAAAATATATTTCTATCATTTATAAAAAGAACTGTTGATCAGAATTGATATCTGGACGGTTCTTTTGCATATTAAAATTCTTAACTCGAGAATTTGTGGAGATAGATTAAAATAACCCCTTAAAAAAAGTAACTAATTTTGATTTTCGTGAACTAATATACACCAGTATCGTTCACTTTGTTCAATTCTATTTTATTTCAAAAGTACAAAACACTTTTGGAATCCAGACATCATCGAGAGTTTGGTGTACGGTGTTGAAATTGGTCCGTTTACATAGTGAATATGAGAATACACAATGAAGAATGCTACGCTACTTTGAAATTATCTGGGTTAAGTATATAAAGAAGATGTGGTATAATTGCCAATGAGACAACTCTCCACAATAGACCAAATGACACAGAAATTAACAACTAAAGGTCACCGTACGGCCTTCAACAATGAGCAAAGCCCATGCCGCATAGTCAGCTATAAAAGGAGCTAAATTCGGGGCTTTCAAGGGTCTTTTGATTTAGATTGCAAGCACTAATTTAAAAGCTACTAATAATGTATGTACACCTGAGACTATACGATCAAATTTGCTGCGATTAATTTTTTTTAAAGATTAGTAAAATACAGGATTAGAGAGCCGAGACCAGTTACATGTAGCCAATCTCTTCATACAAAGCCTATAGAAAATTTGTAATTTGTTTGACATTTGAATTCTTGGTTTAATTGTACCCATGAATCCCAAGAAAATTGATATCCAACGATTAATAATTTAAATTTGGATGTAACACGTCTTATGATTGGCTGAGAGTTTTTTGTCTACAATCTCATAGACATAATTTTGTCATGTGACCGTGACGTCATCAACGTCTTTTTCATGATTCACTCCTTAAAAATGGAAGTTAGAATTAAATTATAAGGAATGACTGTAATATTTTTTCTGTCTATTCGAAATAACTTTAAAAATGTGGTGCACATTGTTAAATAACCCGCTATAGACAGAAAAAATATTATAGTCATTCCTTAAATAAAGAATCTGCGATATATAAGAACCGTTAATAGAACATATCCGATACTTAGTTAATACTTATATCAATGCATATATTCTACCAATATCTGTTTATAGTTGTAACATTGGGGCAAACTGTAATTTATTTTGTATAAAAATATATTAGACAAATTATTAAAGGGGTCACCGACTTTTTTTATTAGAAACTGACATAATGACACGATCATCAATTACTATAGTTACATTGCATTATTTTAAAAGGGAATCAATATTAAGAAAAAAGGTTAAATATTAGAAAGCTATTCTGTCATTTGAGTCTTTGACGGAATTGGCACCTCCTTTTTTCGAAAATATTTTCAATATGTTAATGTTCCAAATTATCAGTAGCGTTCCATTGACAATAACAATTTACACATACCAAAGCCAAAGGCCAATTGCATGAATAAAACATTGATATATTCAGGTGTACAAATATAGAATAATTTGCCTTGAAAAGTAAAAAACTCAAAATCGTTTATATAATTAATGTTTCAATTATTTTTTCACGTGTAGTCTCTGAATACTTTGTTAATGAAATAGTCGTTATTTCAAACTATTTCTAAATCGTATGGCTGATAGATTAATCATGCAAGCTATTTTTACCTAAATCACAAGACAACATACCAATCTATTGTTCTCGGCTCATCAGTTATCACATTAGTTGTAAACTGGATAGCTTCAATCAACAATAGACTGTTTTCATTTTACCGAATTTTGACCTCAGAGCTTATACATTTTTTCGACAGATCACCTACTCTTTGGTGGGACATTATTGTACTGGTCAAATATGAGCAACTAAAACAAGTAAAATCAGCTAACAATCTGCGCAATTTTAGGAAAAAAAAATTGTTCTATTTTTATAATACACGACAAAATCATTGGAAAACAGTTTATTTTCCCAAAATATCAACTATTGTAAGTTTGATTTTACTTCTTTTAGTTGCTCTTACTTAACCGAGTATCAGAATGTCCTACAGAGTAGGTAACCTGTCGAAAAACCTTAAACTTCGGAGTCAATAGTCGGGAATATGAAAAGACTATTGGCAAACAGATAAAGAACAAGGTTTAGTCTATTGCAGTAATAACCAGACATGTTAATTGTGTTATTTACATAGAAGTGTAATCAAGTTATCAGCAAATGATCTTGGTTTGATAATGGCATCATGCGTAAGAGTTGATTGAATGATAAATGATTTTTTTCTATACAGTCATTCAGTATTGATACAACAGAAATAAATGAGAAAATCCATAAACAGTTGTTTAGTCTAAAGTGTTCGAACGTCTATTTCCTTCACTTCTCACTTGCTTTTGAATTAGTATGCACTAGAAATATAAAAACAAAGGAGTTTCAGTATGATTTCAAATGAAAATACTATCAACAGGAATCCAAATGACGTTAATTAAATTCTTTATTTATTTAAAGAGGATTGCCAACAGCCAGAGGCAAATGACGTTGATGTTAGCAACTATAGCTACCGTACATCCTTCAACAATGATCAAAACCCATTCCGCATAGAAAGCTTTAAAAGACCCAGACATGACAAAAGAGAGGCAAAAGATACCAAAGGGTTATTCATACTCAGAAGTCGATAACAAACTGACAAAGCAATGGCAAAAAATCGAAAAACGACAATGTGAAACAGTTCCAACGAGAAAAACAACGACCTAATTACGACAAAAAAATAAACGAACAACAAATGTGACAGACAGCAACCAACCACAACCATTGAAAAACAGACTCCTGACATGGGAAAGGCACATGCAGAATGTCGCCGGTTTAAACATTTTTTTGTGAGCGCTCAACCCCCCTCTAACCTGTGATAGCAATACAACATAATATCTACAAAAATCAGTTGCTACATTCTTCAGATTGACACGAATCATGTTTAATTCAATGACAATGTTTTCGATCGAAATTATGACAAAGTTGGTTAATTAATGTCAAACCTAATTTGTCTAACAATGGATACAGGGTTTCTGATATGACTCAGTTGCGATGATAGTAAAATACTACAATTAAGTAAATTTCTTAAATAGTTGTTCACATCACACAGAGAGAAAGTGTAACAACATCTTTTTCTATGTTGTAAATTACTCGTCTCTGGATTCAACAACAAAATATTATTCGTTACTTTAATGACTTGTTTAATTACTTTTAACATGACCTATCATCGAACTTTTGCATGCCATCAGCAACACAACGGGTTTCCCTAATGGATCAGAAACTGTTTATCCTTCAGGATGATTTGCTCAATTCTTGGTGTTCTGTGCAATGTTTTGTTGAATGTTGACTGTTGTTGTCTCTTGGTCTTTTTTTCTTTTGGCCATGGTGTTTTTGGACTTTTTTCGTCTTATGAATTTTAATTGATCTCTTTAATTATCTCAATTCTTTTTCTGTGTTAACTAAATATATTGGGTCTCTCATCTTTTTTGGGGAACAGACGTGACATCGGATATATGAGACCCATTGTTTTTATTATATCCATAAAAACAGCATTACTTTTATAACGATCAATCACAAAAAAAATATAAAAGATATTCAGATCTCTATATGAGAAAAAAATACATCAGAAACATTACAAAACAATTTGCAAGGAATGAAAATGCTTCCAATGAAGACCTATTTTACTTATTTAAGATAGAACATGGATTCTTAGTGTTGTCAATCTTCAACATTCGACTAGCATCTATTGTTGATTGTATAGCAAGGTTCATTTAGAAGGATATTATTAATTACACAGTGTGCTTTGCTCTTACTTCATATGGAATTTACTGACCGTATATATCGTATTAGGTCACTAGTACACTGTGTAACAAATTTTCTTACCGACTATCTTAACATGTGGAAAACAGACTAGTGGCCTATTAAATCGACCAAGTCTTCAATATTAAGAACCTACTTTCATTGGTATATTCAAAAATAAATACTAAAAATAACAATTTGTTATACTTTTTTTCCGTATTTATTTTCAACCGTTTATCATCAATTTCTTTTCAAATTTTTATAATATAAAGGGACACTGCTACTAAATGTGTATTAGAATTAAACACGCCCATTTACCCAATAATAAATATACAGCGTCTTCACGTGTTAGCTTTTAACCAATGGTATTCCCAGAAATGTATAGGAGATAAGAAAAATGCAAAAAATGGTACTAGTAATTAATATCAGGAATATATCCTTCAATTTGTGACCTAGATCAGAGATGGCAACCCCATTCCATTTTCATGTAAAAATCGACCGGAATCTGCTATCCCATACCCCTCTTTTCCATAGTTGACACCTTCCTTTTTACTTCGCGAAGAAGAAGATACCACCATCAATTTGCACAAATGCCCGTTCATAAAATGCAAAAATATGCAAAAATAACAATCATTCAAATATCTCATGGGCATATTTAAGGTCTTCTTTTAATTTGATGTTTAAACAATACATATACAAAAAAGACAATTACATCAGTAAAAGTTAAACGTTTCAAACCTTTCAATACACAGTATGAAAATAACATAAAGAGCAGTAATTTATACGTTTGATTCTGATACTAACAAAATAAACATGTTCTTCATATTCAGCAGTATTTGGATAACTACATACTGGCATTCTCATAAATACTGATGGGTATAATTGTTCAAACCTGATAAACTTTGTAGCATCAGTTACAACCAAGGAGAAATTTAAGAAGAGGATATATCAAATGATTTTCCATTCTTTTAAAAGGGCATTAGCTGTCAAATTCATGTTCACCGATTGACTCAAATTCTCATATCTAATTTATAACATACTAAAACGTATATCCAAATTACAATAAGTCTAAAATAAACAATTAGCAATGCATGGATTCGATAATACATATCAGCATTTCGTGTGTAATTTATCTAAACGCCATCTGATTAACTATCGAGATGACCTCCGAAGACTTTTGACAGTCATATAAACATAAATATAAATATAAATAGATAGAGACCACGTGTAATTGGATTTTTCTAGGTCTGTTTGATTTCATGTTATATGTTAAAAAATAAGTTAATCATCGTTTTTAACTGAATAAGAATGGGTTTTTTTTGTGGATCGAATCAGTCAACAAAATGGTTCACTCTTGTTTCACTTTCTATGTTGACATTCTTCTCCTTTTAATCGCTGAACACGCCTAGTTCATGCGTAACCCATCTCCAGCTAAGGGGTTAAATTGAAGTTGACATGTATATGGATTCACATTAGGTCGAATTATTCACTTGCAAGTCAATAATACATCAGCGATATTTTTTAGCTTATTTCGACAAATTTGGGCAAAACAAACTGGTTATAACGAAATTTTAATTCAAAATTCCGCTTTTATTAATACTTAAAACAAAAAGATTCCAAATTTAATTTTTTTGTCTAAATCGTAGCTAATGCCCCTTTAAATTCTTTTTATGAAAAGAACTTGAAACGTAGACAAATACTTAAATTCATTAGATTTTTTCCTTAAGAAAAGAGAAAATAGTCCAAAATATTGTATTTCAAATAACAACAATATTATAACAGTATGCATCCATCATTGTCATGATAGTTATGATAATAACCTATTCTTTTGAGAATAGTAAAATATAAAATTCTTAATCACCTCCTTACTATTGTAAAATTGAAAATAATTTTGTTTATAGCTAGCTGAAATTTCAGAGATGTACTATCATACAGGAAGTACTTAAACATTATGTGTTCGAAGTTTTGACAGTAGTACATGGTAGGCTTACATCTAACGGAGTGTTTTTTAATTCTTCGAATGCCTAAGAATACCTGACAGTACGGAGCTCTCGTAATAGCACTCACAAATCAAAACACTACAAACAATATAGGGGAACAGAAAAATACTTTAGTTAGCATGGACGTCAATAGACACTTCGTTGTCTCTGCAATTCTTGAGTATCTAGTCTTCATACAAATGGTAAACGTTATACTAAAATATGGCTGGATTTGATATATGTTTGCTCTGTTTAATACTGTCACACTGTTAATGTCTTACAAAATGTTCAAATTCTCCTACTAATGTTAAAGATCATGAAATCATGACGGAGAATCTTCATATAATTTATCACTTAGTACATTCTATTTTCCATAACGTAGTGAAGGCAAAACTGGAAGATTCAATAAAATCATGAAAACATAACTATAGTTTCAAATGTATTTTTTCAATATGACACAGTAGTTTTGTTTCTGCTTTGCAGAGTAAAATGAATGTTTCCCTGTATTTCTTACTCAGAAAAAAAGACTTTTAATTTTTAAGTTGGTCTTGCAGTGCTTTCAGATCAACAACAACATTTGGCAAAATAACAAACTTGTACACTAGTAAGAATGCTATTAACAAAAGAGTTGCAGTAACTCCTAAAATTGAAAGCCATTTAGAAATCGTTCCTTTTTGCTTTGCGTCTACGATCTCGCCAGAAGCATACTGACGTCTGGACAATATAGCGAACAAGATGGCAAGAGACCCAAAAGGACAATTACACAACGTAACAAACAGAGCTAGACCTAGATAATTTGGTGGTCCGTTCCTAGACTCAGAAAGCTTCCGTTTGTCATTTTTTCCCGTAGGAACACTTAACACATCTCCATTATAACTCGTACAACCATCTGTTGATGACACCGGAAGTAGTGAAACATCTGTCCTTTCGTCGGAAGGTGAAGGCGGTAGAAATTTTGGTTCAAAGTTGAAGGTGAGAAGTTCGCATTCTTTATCTTTTGTCATCACTCACATCTGCAAAAGAAGAAAAAAATCTAAAACAATTAGAAACTTGAACATAAAAACAAATCTAAAAAAAAAACCTATGACTATTATAACATTATCTTATACAATCTACAGTACATTTTGATTTTTTTGGTATACTAGTAAAGTATCCCCGAGTTTGTACTTAAGAAATTATAGCGTGTATACTATTTTTGACGGAATCAAGTGGTTGTAATTTCGAAGTTATACACAACATATAAAAATAGAATGGTAATGACCTCAAGCATCGGATATTTAGAGACCCAGGTATCTTGTGTTTATCACATAAAGATTTCATGTTAACTTTGTTTTGCCTAATGTGGTTTCTTCTCATGTTTAAACTACGGAAAATTAACTTTAATCCTTTTCCAGTCTTTGTGTATATCCCATATACATGTATCTGGTTTAACTTAAAGGAATTGACATCAGGAGAATTGTGCAAATAAAGAAATGCCTTAATTTTATAAACACTTTTGGTTTGCATTAGTTTAATTCCCGGTCTATTCCTGATAACTTCCTGATAACTCTCAAATAAATATAATATCACTAAAACCTGATAGCTAGTTGTAATATTTTCCCATAAATCAAACCAAATGAGTTAAAGACCGGCTTCTAGAGCAACTGACATCACCTCCGATTTTTGGTCGCTTTGTGTTGCTAAGTCTTCTATGTATTAGTTTTGAATCTACCCTAGGTGTCTTCCACCTATTATTTAGAAGAAAAATAAAGGCAACAGTAGTATACCGCTGTTCAATAGTCATAATTCGATTAAACAAAAACAAATCCGGATAACAAACTAAAACCGAGGGAAACACATCACCTATAAGAGGAAAACAATAGAACAACAGAAACATTGAACTACAACATGAGCAAACGCCAACATACATCGAAACGGACTGTCTGATTACAACTGCCAAATTCCACACTTGGTACAGGACATTTTAAGAAAAAATGGTGGGTTGAAACTGGTTTTATGGCTATCCAAACCTCCCGCTTATATGGCAATGTTAAAAATACTGCTAAAATGACAACACTACGTGACGGGAATACAGTACAAACAAACACAAAAACACTCAGCACAGATAAATACATAAATAAATAATATAATAGTACATTATCACATGTAAACCGCAAAATAACAACGGACACCTCCCATGAATTTACGATAGCACACAAGGACACCACAAACCTAATAAAAACTGAGCGTTACATGAATGGATCAACTTCATCAAAAAGGGTGCGGAAACTATGCAACATTATAAAACTTTTTTTAGCAATACATTATATTTTCGTTTTATGCTTTTAGTCTTTTACACAACAATTGTACTTTATTACTGTTAATCTTAACATGTAAATACGATCCTATTTATTGCATCAAATCTCTTTTCGATTAATTTAATTTTTGATGTAACCCGTCTTCTGATTGGCTGACGTTGTTTTGTTTATCAGCTCATAGACATGATTTTGTCATGTGACCGTGACGTCATCAACGTTTTTCATGGTTTACTCCGGATTAAAATGGAATTAAGAATTAAATTATAAGAAATGACTGTAATATTTTTTCTGTCTATTCGAAATAACATAAAAAATGCTACGCGGGTTATTCAGTGTGCACCACATTTTTGATGTTATTTCTTCATAGACGGAAAAAATATTACAGTCATTCTTTAAATAGGTAATTTATTACGACAATAAGTAGAAATATTTGCAATATAACTTTATTTTACCAATCTCACTTGATGTTGTATGCATATGATGCTTTTGTGACTATTTATTAATGATATACGGAAGGTCACCAGTAGCATACTGATGTTCAATACTCATAAATCGATTAAACGAAAAAAATCCTATCAACAACCAAGTCTGTAAAAACAAAACTGTCAAACATGTTTTTTTCTGCTTATAAACGGTTTTCTATTTAATTCATGCAAGCCAACAAGCTATTCAACGTTTATACTCGTAATTACAATGCAAATACTGATCAAAGGTACCAGGCTATTGAGTGTGCACCACATTTTTTATGTTATTTCTTCATAGACAGAAAAAATATTACAGTCATTCCTTAAATAAATTTTCAGTCAGTCACAAAGGATAAGCAATTTTAACTTAAGTTAAATATAATTTTCAATGTCTATATAAAGTAATAGATAAGCCTTACATTTCTCATTAGAAAATACAAATCTAATAATTTGTAATGAAAATACCTGCCTGTCTGGTGTTGAAATTTTTAACTATTTTGTTACACATTAATATCATATATTATAAAAATAAGATGTGGTATGATCTATTTATCAAATACAAAATAATGAGAATAACTAAAGGACGCGTACGGCCTTCAACAATGATCAAACCTCACAATTTTTATTCGAGTGTTACTGATGAGTCTTTTATAGACGGAACGCGCGTCTGGCTTACATAATTTTAATCATGGTATCTATGTCGAGTTTATCATAAGGTAATCAAAAAATAGCCACGGGATGACGTTACATATATGGTCATAAGTATGGCACGCAGGAACCACATAAATGAGATAATCACAGTTTATCGAGGTTATGATAGATTATCGGTCGATCATTATAGATGAACGTCGTACATTTACCTTAACTAGAGTTATCGGTCGTAAATGCATTTACGAAATTATCGTAGACAATCTATTATTATCGTTCATAAATGCATTAACCATGTTTACGGTCGACAATCTATAATAATGGAACGCGGGAACCACATTATTAGATAATAATAGTTTAACGGGCTATTCGTAAATGCATTTACGCCCTGTTTTCACAAGCAGTTCATGTGTACCCAATCACATTGGATTATCGACCATGCTAAATAATTTTCCAATCATATCCATCGATACAAATGACAACACATTCAAACCGCAATTCAACAATAGAATCAACAACGCCAGAAACCTTCAGAGTTTAAAAATGTGTATATCATGAATGTAACTAAGCGAAATATACATTGGACATTTATGAACTAGCGTTCAATTATAGAGTATAGAGTATACCATGTTGTGCAGCAGGTCTACAATCAAATATTAAGTAGGCAAAATAGCAAGACTGTAAAATTATATAAAGCTTGCGAAATTGTTTTACTTTATGATAGTAAGTATTCAATAAATAATGTATAAAATATCAGTCTTCTTAACTTAAAAAATCTCAAATTATAAGTTTTCTAATCGTAAATTGAATCAAATTTAATTAAAACTTTATAAATTTCGTCGAACGCAGGACTTTTGTCGATTAACTTTCACCAAGAACGCCCAATCCTGAATAATTCAGAGCCAGTAATGCAGAAATAAGTAGAAAATTTAAAGAGCTTGCGATCAAAAGGGGCATGAAGTAATAGCCAAACGCCTCTCCGGTCAAATATCCCTTATGGAGTTGGAACGTTAGTTTTTTAAGTAAATTTCTTAATGTATTTACGGGAATTTTTAGAAATGTTTATCATAAATTATGTAAATACTGAAATACTACGAATACTGAGCTAATGATACTCTAGGAGATTAACAGTCCACCAGCAGCAATATCGAACCAGTGATAATAAATCGAACAATACTTAATATCAGACTCGTTCACTCTGAAGTTTATTCACGTAACTTACACTAGAATATTTCTTATAAACACACTGAATACAATTTTATCAATAGAAAATATTCAACAAATAACTCATACACGTCTTGTTAATTTAAAAAATCTCAAATCATAAGTTTTCTAACTGTAAATTACCTCAAACTGTCAAATGACCTTTCAAAAATAAACTATATATTTGAAGTTCACTCACGTCATTGCCACTAGAAATCTTTCTAATAAACAGACTAGTAGAAGAAAAACACCTGCTCAATGGACATGTAATTTTACATTGAAGTTTTCTTTATACCAAGAAACAGAAAATTATTTTTGATTTAGAAATCTGTATCGATCTTTGTTTTTGGCACACTGAAGTGAAATAGCAATCAGGGAAGGGTGACAACGCAACATAAAATATGCCATTTAATTTCAATCATTAGAATTTATTTAAAGGAGTTCTGTTTTTCAAATTAAGGAGATACTGTGTGATGGTCATTGAGACAACTATCTGCCAAAGACTGGGTTGTAAACAACAAACTACAAATTCATTCACGTCTTTCAACTAACGAATACCAAAATTCATTCCGTATTGTAAGCTTTAAAACCTTTATAGATGAGACAATGTGAATCTTTAAAAAAATGACTAAAAAACCGGCCTTACTTAAGATAATAACATTAAAAGAAAAATAATTATGACTGACAACAAGCAATGACAACCACGGGACACCACGCTCCAGGTTTGAGACCGACAAAGATGTAGTATATAATATTTCAAGGAAAAGGTGAAGGTTTTTTCAACAAAATATACATAAAATTGAGAATGGAAACGGGGAATATGTCAAAGAGACAACAAACCTACAAAAGAGACGAAAACAGCCCAAGGCCACCAATGGGTCTTCAACACAACGAGAATATCTCGCACCCGGAGGTGGGCTTCAGCTGGCCCCTAAACAAAAATGTGTACTAGTACAGTGAAAATGAACGTCACACTAAACTCCAAAACATATAATAGAACTAAAATTAAAAAAAACATACAAGACTAACAAAGGCTTGAGGCTCTTGACTTGGGACAGGCGCACACATGCGGCGGGGTTAAACCTGTTTTGTGAGATCTCAACCATCCCCCTTAACCTCTAGCCAATGTAGAATAAACAAACACACAGCAATACGCACAGTAAAACTCAGTTTAAAAGAAGTCCGAGTCCGATGTCAGAATAGGAAACAGAAGAAACTAAGCAAAATGACAACGATACATACATTAACAAAGGACTACTAGCAGTTACTAACCTGTCAGCTCCAGACCTCAATTAAACTAGTTGAATGATTATGTCTTCATCATATGAAAATCAAGCACAATCCCTCCCGTTAGGGGTTTAGTATCATAACATCATAAAATATATGAGAAGAACATAATCC